TGAAATGTTCTTTCATTTCGACAAAAAAATTATGTGTTCTTTGGCTATCATTTGTTTACAAAACTTGTCAAAAATTTTAGTGAAAGTCAGGTTATGCAAAAATTAGTCAAAACGTTTATTTCAGTTATAAAAAAGAGAGAATCTATTCTTACAACATAAATTTTTTAGAAGAAACAATAAACTTTGACTCTATATCTTTTGACTTAAAATAGCTCAAATTAACTAGTCAATAAAAAATCTTATTTTGAGGGGAAAAAAGAGAGCTCAAAATAGCTCAAAATTGACTTAAACAATAAACTTTGACTCTCTCTCTCTCTCTCTCTCTCTCTCTCTCTCTCTCTCTCTCTCTCTATATATATATATATATATATATATATATATATATATATATATATATATATACACACTCCACAACCCATTTCAATGGCCAAACACGGCTATCAAAATAAAGTACAAAACTTTTGAGCAGGAGACAGCGAACATAAAAAGGCTCCACGCATGGCTGCAAATATGCAACCATTGTTTTAGCTTAGGCGTGTGCAACCTCAAAGTCTAGGCACTGGGATTAATGCTTAAGGAATAAGGATTGATTGCCTTAGCATATTAAATTTGGTGAAACTGTGTTATTATTTGTGAAAGCGTGAATACAAATAGGTAATTAATTAAGTGTCCAAAATGCCCAATGCTCAAAAACCACATAAAAGCACGTTAAAAACTCTACAAAAACCAAAAATAAAATTCCTAAAGAGTAAAACAAAGGTTCCTAATAAAATTTAAAAAGTAAATTAAAACAATCCTAAAATTAACTAAGAAATCACACCTAATAGTTAATGAAAGAAATTAATATACCATTAGGATTAATATTATATTGCCCTTTAAAACATGAATTATTTATATAATATTATTAACAATACTTGAAATTATTATTTCCATTAAAATGGATTTTATAAAATAAAATAAAATCTTAAATCATATGTAAAATTAACTATGTTGCAATGAATTAGTTATAATATTTTTAAAAATAAAAAAATTTGTTAACTTCAATCCTAAAAATTTAAACATTCACAAATAATTTTTTTTAATAAAAAAATACATAATTATTGTATTAAAATTATAAAAATACAATAAATATATCTCTTTCTAATAAAATTTTACTATTATTAATTATTTATTCTTAATTTTAAGAACTGAAATTAACAAAACTTATAAAATATTAACATTATCGACCATTAAACACTAATAAATAATCTTATTGTTCAAAAATGTAATAAAAAATAATATTAAAATCAAAACTTTGACTAAGCTGCTAAAGATTCCTGACCCATGAAGGTATCCTTAACATATGAGGCCTGATACAGAATGATATGAAAAAATCACTTCTGAAAAATTTGTAATATAATAACAGAGGTAAATATGTTTTTGCTGAGTTAATAATAAAGATAATTAATTTGATTTATAGAGTATTTCTATTAAAATATTAATAAAATGATTTCGCATTCGAAATTCAATTTTTTTCTAAAAATTTCATGGCAATTGACAGCTGCTGATTGCCTGTAATGTAGTGTCAATCGTAAAGCTTTCCTCTATTTTCTGGCATTAACATATTTCCACAAATGAATGCATCGATGTATGCATCGCCTCAATGTACGCGCTGGTGACTCAGCCTAACTCATAAGCTCACGCTGTATTCACTCTTATCAATTAATATATATTAAGTGTCTTGTCCCGCTGTATACACTTTTAATTTTTTTTTAAAATATGATATATTTTTATTTTTATTCTTTATATTTGATAAAAAAATAATGTATTTCTCTTTTATCAGGATTTAAAATAATATTTTTTATAAAATTAAAAGACTTAAAAAATAGATTTTATATTTTTAAAGATCGTGATGTATTTAATATTTTTTTTATCTTTTTTATCAGAAATAAAATAAAATATTTTTTATTATAAAAAATAAATAATAGATTTAAAATGTATTAATTGTTAATTTTTTATATTTTTATTAATATTATTAAATATATAAATTACTAATTACATCATTTAATATTATAGATATTTTTAAAATAAAATTTATATTTATAAAAAACATATTATACTTAATTACTTTATTTATTTTTAGTGACCTAATTTTTTGTTTTTTATAAAAAATAGAAAAAGTAAAATATATATTTTAAGAAATACATGTATGTGTATACAAACACGTGTCCTTGTTACTATAGATCTAACTATGGACGGAACGGAGACTTCTTTCTAATTCAAGAACTTTGCAAAGATTTATTAAACAAATTTAAACATTGGTAAAAAAAAAAGTGGTATAATAATTGTTTAAAACAAGTCTTTAAATTTCAAACTTGCCATTTGAACTTCATCCAAATCCTGCAATGGCTGCCTTTTCAAATTGTGGGCTTGAACAAACCTTGATTGTATAATATATAGGAATCACATGGACGAAAAAATAATGAAATAGAATAAAATCGTAATAGTTTTTATAATTTAAATCATTTAAAAACATGAATTGTATGGAATATATTTTATTTTTTTCTTTTAAATTTGAGATAAAAAGGAATTATATTTTATATTATCGTAAAATATATACTAAAATAATAAAATCATAACTTCACTCATCTATTTTATGCTATGCTATCTCTTCTTCTTTTTTTTCAATCTCAAAAAAATATTCGTGCATAGTTACACAGATCTTTGAATATTTCTCATACAAAGCACTCATCAAATAATAGTCATAAAGTTTCTACAGTTTTTAACTACTCCCAACATTTTTTTTACTTATTTTTACATAAATGAAAACTAGACGCAATCATTTGAGAGAGTATAATAGAAGGGTGTCCTTCAAAAGACCTTCAATAGTTTCAAAACGGGAAACATTAACAAGTTGATGTTAAACTAATCTGTGACACTACTTCTGTGTATTAATCTGATCCATGAAAGGCCTTGGAAAATATAAATGACATGGGAATATTATTGTGAGAGGAAGGTGCTGGAAGAATTAGGGTGAGATGTTGAGAAGAAATTAAAGTAATGGATGATTTATTGGGGGGTGCTGAACACTTGGATAACTGTAGCAATGAACAATGATGTTGTCCACGATACAGTGGCATTCTCCCAATAAAAGGGTCAGAGAGGCGGCTATTGAAACGGCCACGTTTACAAATAAGAGGGAGAACACGTCATTTTGCCGCCTATGAGGCTATGGGCATGTTAAGATGAATGATCAATGAATGAATCTGCATTTTCTTTTATGTTCCACTTTTCTTGATCCTATCCCTCAGACCAGACAATTCACTTCCCTCTGTCACTCTGTATCATCCCCACATCTTTACTGTTCAGTTTATGTCTTCATGCAATTCATCTGCATTTTTATTTTCCCATACATTGTTGTCATAATCGAATCAAATTGCCTGGTTTTACCAACCAATCTACTCTTTCCTGCATGCTTATTTTATTTCAATTTTAAGAAAATAAGTTTTTTTTTTAGTAAAGAAAGCTATAGATTATTATTTCTAGAGAATAGGTTAAATTAAATTCATGTTAGCAACTTTTAACTTTAAAAAACAGATGATTAAAAGTTAACTCAATCGTAAAAAAAAAGCAGATAAAATGATGATTTTATTTTTTATCTTTTATTTTTACTCATACTTTTTTTAGTTTGGAAATTCAATACTGAGTGATAACATTAAAAAGATTACGCATGAGTTGCTATTGTCATATTTTGTTGTCAATATTTATTTTATGCTATTACATGTAAATTATATATGCACATGCATAATGCGTTTGAAATATTAAATTATTTCATGTTCACAAATTGACTATCATCGAACCAATAAATAGAGATGAAAATAGGTGAGATCTTTTTTAACATGCTTTGTAAATTTAAAAACTAAATTTAAGTTATTTACATGACTTAATATTTTTAATAAATTAATCTGACTTTTGTTTAAAGATTTGTTTTGTAGCAAGTTTTTAAAAATAAAATAATAAGTATAACCTAAATAAACTACTGGTTTTTTAAACGTAGGCTATCGATCTTAATTAGTCTCTAAATAAGTTGACAAATATGTAACTTGTAAATATTATGATAAAAATTTAAAACTACAACAATAACAATAATTACCAGGCCAAATTTGTAGACACAAAATACATTTTAGATGATTTAACAGTATTAACTTTTAAAAATATTTATCCTAACATTCTTGATAAATAAACTTATATCAAGTCAATTTCAATGCTGATTCAGTCATAAACATCAAATAAGTTCGCTTAACCCATCTGAATACTGTCTTACTTAAATATTAGATTGCCTTTTATAGTGAGTCACCTTGCATTCCACCACTATAGAATCTTTGAATAAAAAAATATAAATTACGGATATTTCGACGGAGAAAATAACAATTTACTGAAAATTAAAAGTCATAAGCTTTTGATAAGTATTACTCTATAAATTAATACATTCTTTAATTTAACAATCAGACTAATTTCTAAGACATTTATTTGATAGTCAATCCAATTTTAAAAGAATTTTCTTAAAACTGCATATTTTTTAATTTAAAAAGATTAAATTAAAAAAGGTAAAGGAAATTGGAAAGAAAAAAAGGTATTTAAAAAACGTTATTCACACGCGCTTTACTACTAAACTGGGGTGTCCCCTATCGCTCCCGCCAAAAGAACAATGTTCCGAAATGAGCGCCACGTATGAATAGAAGAAATCGGAAGCGTCCACGTTTCTTCGTAAAATTTCCATGGAAGCACAGGTGTACGCTCCAGATTTGATTCCTCTCCGGAATGCGTTAAGCCATGGCGAGGCACCTGCATTGTGTCATAGGAGACTCGTATACAAAACCACTTTCCTCCGAGAAGAAGAAAACTCCACACACAACAAAATGAACCCTTCTCATATCATCAACAACATTCACACCCATCAACAAAGATTCTGATAAAATTAACAAAACACATGCACTGCTGTTACCAACACAAACTCCAAAGATGCATTCCACCCACACCAAGTCCAAAGAAATCCAACGGCGCTACGATACCTACCGAAAGAAGAGAAAGCGTCCTTCCCACGTTGCTGTCGTTCCCACCATGGAATCCCCCGTCGCCGGAGAAGACAAGTGCCCCAACCCCCCCGCCTCCGCTTCTCACGGCTTCATATCCGTCATCGGCCGGAGGAGGGTGATGGAGGACGCCGTCAAGGTCGTTCCCGCTTTCGTGGCTGCGGAACAGCGTTCCTGCGGCTACGACTTCTTCGCGGTTTACGACGGTCACGGTGGGACGATGGTGGCGAATGCTTGCCGCGACAGGCTGCACGTGCTGGTGGCGGAGGAAGTGAAGGAGAGCGCGGAGAAGGGTTTGGATTGGTGTAAGGTGATGTGTTCGTGTTTCATGAAGATGGACGGGGAAATCGGAGTTGGTGGCGATGAGGCGGAGGAAGATGGCGGCGGGAACACGGTGGGTTCGACGGCGGCGGTGGTGGTGGTGGGGAAGGAGGAGATTGTGGTGGCGAATTGTGGTGACTCGAGGGCGGTGTTGTGTCGTGGCGGTGTAGCTGTGCCACTTTCACGTGATCACAAGGTGACCATCCATCATATATTATATTACTAAATTAATTTTTCTCATATTATTATATTAATGTAGTTATTGTTGCATATGGAGGAAGTGAATGAATAGTTAGGGCGTAACGTGATCATAAGGTGACACGGGCTTTCTTTCTTTCTCTCTCTCTTTTTGGTTGCATGTATTATGAATCAATCAATCAGCCTGATCTTCCAGACGAAAAAGAGAGGATTGAAGCCGCCGGTGGAAGAGTCATCAATTGGAATGGGAATCGAGTTTTGGGAGTACTTGCTACTTCCAGATCCATAGGTACACCCTCACCCTCACATAACTGTATTATTATGTACATGCTCATGTTTCTCCAACACAACGCAGGGGATCACTGCATGAAGCCTTTTGTGATTTCTCAACCAGAGACCAACGTATACGCGCGAACAGAGTCAGATGAGTTTGTTGTAGTGGCCAGTGACGGCCTATGGGATGTTGTATCAAACAAGTTTGTTTGTGAGGTCGTGAGAAGTTGTCTCCATGGCCAAATGAGAAGAAATTTAAAACAAGACTCTATTATAAGTTACGCCACAGAGGCCGCAGCGTTATTAGCAGAGTTGGCTATGGCACGGGGAAGCAAAGACAACATCAGTGTTATAGTCATTCAGCTCAAGGATACAACTTGATCCTTTCCCATTCATGCTTTTCGTTTTTATTTACTTTTTCCCTCTTTTCTTTCCAATTTTTTCTTCATGTCTAATTGTTACTCCTCTATATAAGTTGTCTTGTCTTGTTAGGATGCCCACATAATCTCAAAGCATTTAGCTCCAATATCCTTGAGCAATGGGTGAGGGGAAAGCGCTCTACTAATTTTGTATAAGTAAACTAACTTTGCATGAACTGTTTATGCGAATCCTATGATATAATATGTAGTAAAACAATCAACTTTTTTGCAAATATTCAGTCATACTAAGTTCCGTTCTCTGTTTTCCTATCCCCTCCCTCCTGCCTCCATGCCCCAGGGTCCAAATCTTGGTTGGTTAAAACTTGGAACGGAGCATAATTCAAACGTGTTATACGCGTAATTTTGATGTAAATTCTTTTATTTTTTGTTGCTGAAATTTCGTTTAACAAAAGGAAGTGGGTAAATTATATACTAGTGTTATAAAGAGGCACAAATTATTTTTAAACGAGTCCTAAATGAAATAACTTGATTTCTCCTGACAAGATTCATATTGAACAAAACATGCATCCTTTGGCAAGTTTGATTCAGCGTTTCATATGCTCTGAATGTGCGTTTATGCTCCAAATGCAACTTTAAATAGCGTTGAATAGCATGTGAACATTTAACCAGACACGCGAACCTAAGGCGCAAGTCGAGGCTCCCTCTCTCTTTCAAAGTTTCTGTCATAATCACACCATCTTATGATCACATTTTACGTGTTTTCAAACCCTGCGATACACTTGCGAAAGGCCTTTATCAATTAAAATGTTATATTAAATGTTCTTTTGAATAGACCATGGCCCATTGATGACCAGAATCTCTTCAAAAGTTTATTTGCTCATCATTATCTTTCCTTTTTCTTTTTATTTGTTTCCGAATCTTATCATTCTCATGATCCCATTAGCACAAACAAAGCCCATTTATGATCAAAATCCTTATTGGGTCGAAGAAAGGCAGGCCATTTACTGGTTATGTACTGACTTTATGTTTGCGAAGCAACCAATTCTAAACCACTGTGTTGCAAAGTGCAAACAAGTGATAGATCATGCATCATCAATTTATTGGGTGTTTGGGTGGACAGTTGATAATTAATTTTGGATTATATTAAATTTATAAAATTAATGTGATTAAAAGTGAATTTGTGAAGTGATCTATATTTAATATTTAGCGTCAATGTAGTATTTTTCTAATAAAATTTAATCTAATTTTTATCCCAACACAAAAGTTATAGGTTTTGCTTTTACTAAAACTTTTTAGAAGAAAACTTGATTTTACTATTACATAACCAAGCGTGCTAAAATATCATAACGATAAGCATTATTTTTCACTGGATAAGGTGGTTCCAGTCTACGTACAGGGTACAAGGATACAGCGAAGTGAACCACTTCAATATTTGAGATACTCATTAATTAACTCAACAAACTAAGTTTGTAAATCAGATGAGTTAAATTTAAGCTGAAAACCAAAACCACTAATTACATTACATAAACTTTAGTTAAGTATGTGTAGTTTGATTTGTCTAGTTCTTAAAGAATCTCTCTCATTTTTTCTATACATTTATATACAAATGTATATAAAATATAAAATATTTATATATAATATATGAAAAATGTTAACTAATGATAATAAAATTATATATATATATATATATATATATTATACTTTTACAACTTCAATATAATAAATATGTACTTTTTCCATAAAATTTTTATATTTATAAATGCTTAAACTCAGTTAAAAGTGCTCAATTTACAATTAGTCATAATTATATGAATTATCTTGTCTTAACTATTGGTTCATAGAATTTGTGTTCAAAAGCTGTATTAAGATGTTTGAAAGGTGGACTTAATTTAATATTGGAGGAAGGGAAATAAATAATGGGCTACTAAATGCATTTACTTATCCTTAAGGTTTTTTTCTTTTTTGAGCAAAATTATATTTATTATATAACATTTGACTTCTTGTTGATATCGTATCTGAACACTGTCCCTTATTCCCTTTTTTTAAACCCATGCTTGCAACTTTTTTTTTATATATAATTTTTTTATGCCACAAGTCTATACATTCTTTTCAGTTGACTTTTTAAATTTGACGTTTTAATTTTGTTTATCGATTGAAACATACTAATTCTTATAAACTTAAGTTGAGTTAAAACAAATTTCTCTATTGTAAAAAAATAAATAAAATTGTTTGACTTAAACCAAACCATTTTTATCCTTATGAATAATATCGAAGTTTTTAAATTGGTATTTAGAAATTGCTCCCGAAACATGTGTTGGTATTTATTTGTTTTATGGATTAAAAAAACAACTTTTGCACTTTTAAATAAAAAAATAGGAACAATAAAAATATATAATTTAAATTCATTTTAATGCAACTCCATGTGTTTAACAGTTGAAAATTAATTTCATTTAACTTTAAAATAAATGAAACTCAATATGTCCTTCAATCCTAACAGTTCAAAGAATTAAGGATGGTTAAGATATGAAAGATGTGTTGTAACTGATGAGAGTTATTATTGATTTTTTTTACATCTCATGACTTTGGGAAACATACAGAGAGATTTATCAAAAAAATTCACGCAATTTAATAGTAACCTGTGAGATATTGCTTAGAACTTTTATTCAATTTTTACAACCATTTTCATATATTAATATGAAAAATTAAAAACCAAAAGGGCTAACAATGGATTAAGTGGATCTTTAAGCCACACATTTTGCTTCCCAGTTAGAGCAAGATTGGCAAAGTGGAAAGCTGCCTTGCTACAATTTCCAAAAGTAAACCCACAATCAATATCAAATAAGAAGCAACACACTTCCAAATTTTATTTAACCTAAAAATAAAAAATTATCAATACTATTTTTTCAAAATACACCTTTAAATATATTTTTTGTGATTTATTTACTTTTAAAAAACAAAATTATTGTCTCATAAATTAATTATATTTTAAAAATATTTTAATTTTTAAAAAATAATTAATAATAAAAATATAACATTAAAATAAACGCGTTACTAAGATCCTTCGTAAAATAATTATGATTAGAAATAGACCTGTGGCGTCAATATTTTATTGCTCATAAGGCATTAATTAATAATTAGACGAAATTTGGTGATAGAAATATAACATGAAAAAAATAAATGTTCTTAGAAAATCATCGTTCACGAGCAACCCACGTGATGTCGGCGTTGCCCGTAGGCCATATGGTTTCTTTAAGCTTCAAAAGTCAGCTTACCCTGATTCGTGGGTTCAATAAGATCATAGCAGCTAAACCAATAGAATTAAATTATTAATTTTATTTATTGTGTGTTTACAAATACGTAAACATATAATTTTTTTTATTAAACCAAATTGAAATTTAACTCATTGAAATAAACAATATTTAAAAGATCAATAATTTCATAACCACACACATAATCACAATCTGAATTATAAATTTTTTAATTAATAAGCGCAATGGCATTTTGTTTTTTTAAGTGAACTATTGTTAAAGAAATCAATCCAGTTATTTACATCTCTAATATGTATAAAAAGACAAATAAATTTGATTGCATTTCCTATAATTAAAAAAAGGCGACACTGGAGTCGACCATAAGACCTAGTCTCCATCTAATCATTCTTTATGTACTACATGATTCCGTTTAAGAAGACAAAATACGTGTTCGGATAGCATTTTGTGGTTGGTTGGTTGGTTAGTTGTTTGCTTTAATTTTATTAATAACTATAAAAATAGTATTTTAAAAAAACAATCAGGCAACATTTATATTTTTTTTTTTTCGTTACAAGATTTTCATATATATGAGCTGAAAATAAAATGAAACTAAAAATAGAACGCTTAAATTGTCAAACCGACCGGGTCAGAATTCAAAAAGATAGCATCTGAGAATAACGTTTGAGAAATTGGGTGAGGAGACCAGAGTGTATAAACACAGCTCATCGCCTCATGATCAGTTCAGAAAAAAACGATGAACCCTATGACAAAGGTCAAACCGCCAAGGGCCACTCGTTATTCATTGCAACTTGACAACATCGTTCAAAATTCTGTTTGAAATTAAATGAGTCGTATAATCAGTTAAGAGGATCCATTACTAGATAATGACTTCCAAGGTCAACTTAATCTCATCACCAACTGGGTTCCTAGAGACCCACTGTTCTCTCTGTGGCTTGTAAGTTCAATTTTAAATGGAAATCTATTTTTTTAATTAAATACCTTTTTTTAATATATATTAGAGGGAGGATAAGTAACCTGTGATACGCAACACTGGTTGTATTCTGTACTGATCATGTGCTTTTCTTCAGCTTAATTGAAAAGGTGAAAATTGAGCGAATGGCTTTTCTTTTGCTTTGTACGAGAAAAATATAAAAATGCTAAAATGGGAGCCCAATTATATAGAGAGAGAGGATTTAGTGAACCCACAAATTGTAAAATCATATTTAGATCAGATTAAATATAGCATTGTCTGTTAATAGAATGTATAAACAAGATTTGACTTGTTTCAGTGAATATAATAAAAACATTACTCTCACTTAATAAATGGGTAAAAAGGTGATAAAATTTAAGATGTAATTTGATATTCCAAGTAGCAATGTTGATGTATAGCAACCGAATAGACATGAACGAGAGGGGGACCTTGGAGTTGGAGACCTGTGACCAAGTCACCTACTCTGTCTGGAAATGTCATGTATGTATGGACCCTACCTATCCAATGGCCATGTGAGGGGCTCACCGCTCTAAATCGTGAGGCTCTCCATCACCACAATGCCACTTCTTTTTCTTATCCACAATCCCATGCTTTCACAGCCCCACCCTCACCAACATCTTTGAAATTCCTTTCCCTTACTTATACGACGCCGCTTTATTTCCCATGAGAAAATCACTCCGGAGATTGAATTTTGAATGACGACCACTTTCCCAATAACTCTCTCAACGCCTAATGTTAACAAACTATTAATCAAATAGTCCGTACAGTGTTTTTAATGATTATGTACTTTATTTGATAAATACAACGCTAATCTAATCATATATAAAAAGAGTCAATCTAAATGTATAATCTCAAAACGGTCACCAACGAGTATGTATGGAGTTTCTTTCCAATTGTTAATTTGTATTAAAGTAAAAAATTGTTTACAATTTGAGTTAGATTTACTGTGTTTTTTTTTCTGGCGGTGTGCAAAAAGAAGAAATTTCACGAGAAATTGAGCTGAGTTTTGAGGATATAATGATAAAGATAAGGTGCTACGTGGTGAAAGGAGAGAGAGAGAGAGTATTTGGGGATGGAGAGGGAGTGGCGCGCCGCGGCCAACTATCCTCCGTATATTGCTATCGTAGCATTTATTAAAAGGAAATGAAAAAGGCTCATAATCATATACAGCCAAAATAGACCTTTTTCAGAGTCAATTCCACGTTCTACAAACGTTTCCACGCGTTGCCATTCTATTTGTAGAGGATTACTGCTGCTGCAATAATACCTTTCAGTCACAGTTCACACTTTATGCTCCCACATTTACACACCTGCCCTTCATTTCTACAATAATTAATCCATTTTGTTTAACCTCAATATTTCAAACAATTAATAACAATGATAATCTTTATCAAAAAATATTTATTGCGTGTGTTATGTTTTAATATAGTAAAAAGTGGTGGATGTGGATTCTAATACTGTAAATACCACACGTACGGCTAATCGATTGAGAAAATAATGTTAAAAAATATTTTCATTGACTATAGACGTGGTCTGATTGCAAGAGGTGTGGTTAGGTTCTGTCACATGCATGCACAGAAAAATAAAGAAGAGTTTTTGGCCTTGGAAATACTGAGGAGTGTCCTTTCACGAGTATTGTCCTTCACATTTCAAATAAAGGGCTACCACCCCCATACCTTTCCACAGCCACCTTTAGGCCTTTAATATACCATGCTGATTGATTGGTGACTATCGTCCCCACTTTGATGGGTTGGGTACTATTCTTGTTGCAGTTTCTTACTTCTTCTTGATTCATACTACAGTTCAGAGCCGTTCCAACAATTTCTCCTTTTCTTTCTCTCTCTCCAATCAATCATCCATCTCTGATCTGATTATTGCGCTCTATGATTCTGCCCTAGTGTCTATTAAAACTCCTTTAAGTCACTTATCCGCTGACACATATATAGACAAAGATTTTTCTTCAAAAAATTGTAACTTTTTCATTCGTTAATTCAAACTAAGAAAAGAAAATTACTGCCTAAAAAATATCATAGCTACCTCCGATCCTATGGCAAGAAAATGAAGAGGCTTTGGCAATTGGCATGTGATCCCCATACTGACTTTACTTGATGGTAACCAACTGTTCAATTACCTTGCTTCAACATTTCGTTGCAAGTGCATGGGGTCATTTTTAATTTGATTTCGCGTGGGACAACGTACGCTTGCATATGTTTATTAATGGGGTATTACTTACTAGACACACGAGTAATGAAAACTTACTGCATAGCTGGTACCCATCTCTGTAATGCCTAGATTCTCCATGTGGTTTCTTAAGGCCACTGTTACTTATACGAATTAATATATGATTGTTTCTTTCTTTTTTTCTTTTTGTGGGAAAATATTTTGTGACTATTGACTAATTCTCGCTTCATTGGCTTCAACAGGAAATAGTTTTAAAAGTGTCGCTATCACATTGAATGGTATGTTTCTATTTCAAGATAGTTGGCATAGACACGTTGCTGTTATTGCTGGCAGCTAAGAAAGTCAACATAAATAGCTAGTATTTATCCCGTATCAATGCTTATCCTGGAATAATTACTAATGGTCACAAATCATGCATAATTTGATTCTGATTGTGGTTTAAGGAAATTAAAAGCGTCTTGGCCTTAAACTATATGCATATTTTTTTGCCAAGTGGATGTCAATACCCAACAAGAAACGTAATGATGTATGAGTCCTATTATTTCTTACGGTTGTACTCTCAAATCCACATTTCACTTGTCACACCTTCTTACGCTTTTCATTTTTATTACGTAAATACTACTATTAACACAATAAAATTGGGACGCTTCCGATTTATCGATGCGCTGTCACAAAAAAGATTGATGACGTTGAAATAGTTTAATGTTTTAATATTATAGAGGCAGAGCAATATCGGCCTAATGTATATATGTACGTCTGCAAACATAATTGCCACCAATTGAATTTCGAGTTTTCGCTAATGTTTTGTTAATGAAATATATTTTACACTTGTTTACTTTATAAAGATAAAAAGTTAATTTGATACAATAATATTGAAATAAATATTACTGGTAAGAGGCCCAATGATCCGTGTTGGTGGAGGAAACGCGTGGTTCTGATGCAGAAAAAGACCTTTTGGGAATGACACGTTCTGACTTGTGAAACTACTCCTATCCTCTCCTCTCCTCTCCTCTCATCACGTTCTCATTAGTCGTACCATAACTCTGCAATAAATTGCAAAAGTAGGTTTTTCCTTTTTGGTGATGTATTGCAGAGGTCATCGATATGGAATGGACCCTTATGGACCACGAGGGAGTCAAATCTGAACCCATAATCGAAGTATGCAATCAAAATTCTTGCCCTTGTTTTTTAAGTAAATTCTTTTGGCTAAGATCAAGTGAAATTCCTTACGGCTTTAATTTAAATTTTTGATAAATCATAATGGTGCTTCCACTCCTCCTCCTCAGTTATTGGGGGTGTGACTTTTGACAGTCTACTTCTAGATGCTTTCCCCCTTTTCATCATTTCCCCCCTCTGTCATAATTAATACAGAACAACAAAAACTATTTAAATGTTAAAAAAAAAACAATTTTTAATATTTCCGCAAACAAAATAATGTCCACTTTTTTTTAAAAATAAGTCATGTAGAAAAAGATTATAGCATGTTAGTTTTGGAAATTTTTCCAGACTCTCTTTAACTGTTTAACATGATGATGGCAAATGGTAAATGGGGATTTTCCTTTGAAGCCGAAATTCAAATCCTAGGACGTGTTTAGATTGTAGTTGGCACAGCCCCAAACGTCTAGACAAAAGCTACTTTTGTACCTTTTTGCCGAACATGCTAATAATCTTCCAAATGGATCCTTAATTTACACTTAGAGCATTAGGTAAGCGAGGACCTTTTAGTCATTTGGGCAAGGAAACCAGGTCACAGGGACAAATTGAGAGGATCTACTTGTGTGAACGGGGGTTCGTTGTGTGATATGGAAAAATCTGTAGGGTAGTGCTTCCTCTTGTTATAAATACACCCTCCCAATGGCAAGTGTCCTAGCATACTGTTCCAAACCCTCAAAACTCACAAGCCATTACCCATATCCTCTTCCTCCTCTTCTCTCTGTCTTTCCCTTTATTTTTCTTTTTAATCACTCCATTTTTTTAACACACAACCTGCCACTTGTTGCGTTGATCCTCACGTTTTTTCGGGATCATTTCGTTCTTAAGCTTCAATTAGTACTTCACTTCTCAACTTGTCTTTTTCTCTGCTCTGAATTCTGATTCACCTCATATTTGAGGCAGTATTATTATTACAACACTGTTTTTCTTTCCTATAGGTGGGAAGAGGGACCAGTTTTTTCAGTGACCTTCTTCCTCTATACATTTACCTCCTTTTTGGCTTTTTAATTTTCTTGTAAAGAATGGACGGAATGCGAGAAAGAAACTCTCAGCTTGAATTCCAAGATGGAACTGATATTGGTTCCTCTCTATCTAATCTTATATTAACAAGCGGGGCAAACACCCTGGACTCAATTTTCTCCAATTTTCCTCCAACAAATGGCGCTACTTCTAGTAACTCTGTGTTGGATTACTTAGAACCCTATGGGTCTTCTGGGTTTGAGCCTCTGGGTTCCTCCGTTTACCTTCGCCAAAGAGACATCCTTCAAAAGTTCTACCAAGAAAGCCGAGGGAACGGGAATAGGTCTTTTGTTCCCACTTCCTTGGCAAATCCTTCTCTAAAATCCGTGTACACGAGTTCTTTGTCTTTGACTTCTTCTCTGTTGAACCCTTGCAAGAAAAAGCTCTACAGAGGAGTGAGACAGAGACACTGGGGAAAATGGGTGGCAGAGATTCGACTCCCTCAGAACAGAATGAGAGTGTGGTTGGGCACTTACGACACTGCCGAAGCTGCTGCATATGCCTATGACCGTGCCGCTTACAAGCTCCGTGGAGAATACGCGCGTTTGAATTTCCCCAATCTAAAGGACCCAAGCAAGTTAGGGTTCGGAGATTCCACCAGGTTGAATGCTTTGAAGAGTTCCGTGGATGCCAAAATTCAAGCCATATGTCAAAAGGTGAAAAGAGAGAGAGCCAAAAAGAATGCAGCAAAGAAGCTTAATGAATCGAAACGCGTGCAGAGTGAGAAATCACAGAAGATTAACTCCTCCTCTTGTTCTTCATCCTCGTTACCCTTGTCGCCATCAATTTTTTGTGATAATTGGGCGAACGAGTTGTTTTCACCGAGTGTTTCGGAGGATGGAATATGGAAGGGGGAGAACTCGCCGGCATCGGTTTCGACGGAATGTCCAAGGATGGCGACGGAGGAAACGGAGTTCGAAGGTTGTTCCCTGGCGAGGATGCCATCCTTCGATCCCGAGTTGATTTGGGAAGTTCTTGCCGTTTAGAAGAAGATACTAATAATAAAAATGTGTTTCTTACGTTAATAGTTACTACTACTCTTGAGCGAGTGGTGATGTGTAAATGAAGATTAGTCTTTGATTATGGGTGTGTAATGTCCTTAGCTTTAGGTCTTGGTTTGTGTGAGTGGTGAGAGGTGTTTTAGCATTTTGGGTAGGATTGTTATGACTGTCGTTTGGGCCTTGATTTTTTGCTCAAGGCTTAAGGAGTTGTTATCCTATGGCAGTTGATCATGTTGTGGTAGTTTTCTCTCTATTAGAAATTTTTGCCTATTGACAGAAATATCTTGGCTTTAAACATCCATAATTAATACACACCAATTGCAGTTTAGACCCAGTTAGTAATGAACATTAATTGCAATTGGAACTCCACTTTTACATCTTGTATTTGCTTTCACTCTTTATTTCACTATTTGTCAATGAAATTCTGTTCCATAAATATCGATAAAAGTATCTTTTATTTAACTATTGTATTATTATTATTCAAATAATATTTAAACAAGAAAACCCATATATTTTTATAATTATATATTTGATTTTGATTTTTACGCACTTAGGAGATGTATAGTTTAGAAAATTATTTTTCTTTAATTTTAATTACAAAAATGTTGTATTGTTTTTATTTTGTTCTCAATTTAAATATTTAAAATATTAAACAAGATAAAACTAATATGGTAATTGTATAATTAAAAATTATTTTTAAAATAAAATAGTTTTATATTTATTTTTTTTTATCACATTTTACATATTTGTTTTCTTTTTGTCTTTTTTTTTTCCATTCCATACTTTCTATGGGGGTGTGAAACATTCGTTATTGTTAGGAAAGTGATGGTCTCACATCCTAATTTGTGGTGCGAAATGGATAAAATAAAAAGAGATAAGAAGGAAAAAAATGAGGAAAGAAAAAGTAAAAGATATAATAAATAAAACAAAAAAAAAACAAGAGACAAAAATAAAAAATTTTAAAAAATACAAGAGAAAATACACATAAGAATATTAGAATTATTGCCGTTGGGTATGAATGTCCATTTTTCGAATGGGCTTATTCCAGATACTTAAAAAAAATCATTTTATCTAATTTATGTCATAGAAGTGTTTTTATTAATATCAAACAAGCAATGCTATTTTGTCAAAGTTTTCAATAAATGATCTTAGAAATAACTAATTTATTCTATTTTTAAAATAAAATTTAATCTACAGAAATAAACTTAAAAATTCTTAACACAAAAAAAAAAAAAAACACACACACACACTGACACACAGAGCAAGAGCCTTGGATTAGGTCCTTAAAAGGTTGGGGGAGAAGTGGGTGTGAAACATGTCTTGGGACTATTTAGCATTCACCACGTTTCCAAGGAAATGAGCCGAGACAAGAGGTCATATACTGGTCACTACTATTGAAGTGCAAGTTTATAGAATTAGTGCCACATTCAAAGAATAGCAAGAGACGAGTTGAACAATGTGATTCTCGTTTCACCAGCTGTTAAAATTTTCTTCGAAGTTTTCAGTTCCCTTGCGACTCAAGAGTGGGTTCAGAGCCAAGAAGCATACTCAAAAGTCTTCCATTGCCACCTAACCTAATTATACAAAGGATAACACGTCACTGCTCATATATTTCACGAAAACAAAGGTTTCAGGAACATGTTGCAACCACCAACCACTGCCAGGCACTTCCAACAACACCTTAACTCAGTGTGTCAACAATTACAGATGAACACAAATTATTACCAGATAAAAACAAATATACAAATGATAAAATCATGTAATAATATATATAGTTAAATAAATAACATTTATAATATTTTTTTTCTATTATTTCTACTGATACCCAAAAGTTATTTTCTTTCGACACAAAAAAAACCCTATTAAAATACGTTGTTTTTTTTTAACAATAAAGTATTTTCATGAGAATATTCATTAAAACCTCCATTGACATAAAAATAGAGAAAACAAAATGTAAAAGTTTACATCCTTTGCTTATGTACTTTTCGGACCATGAGCAGTGTTAGGTATATTTTTTCTTTTACAATTATAAGAATTATTACTACCTTTAAAATATTTTAAATTTTATAATTCTCACGTATAAAAAGATTTTTGGTAGCTTTCTTTTGGTGAATCTCTTGACGCCTTTAAGAGTTCTTTTTATTGTTTTTTATTTTCTCTCTTCCTATGTACTCTTGTTTCTTTGGCGAGAGAGAAAAATGTACATACATATTGTAGTCTGATTTTTTATTTTATTATTTACATAACCAACAAGTAATTTTCTAAAGAGAGGAAAACAAAGAATTTTAAAATTTTAAAATAAAACCTTCTACTAACTCTATTATATTGAAAGGTTAATAACAATCGTATTAAGTTAATTTTAATTAGAGTTTACCAACAAGTTGCATAAGTCGCTATATATTATTAATTAAAATAAACAACAGTTAAATAAAATAATCTTAATTTTAGTTAGCTACGGTTGCAATTATAGTTAGCTCTCATATGTTCCTACCCACCTATCGTTAGTTCGAATTGTTACAAACTTGATCTTGGGCCTGTCCCATTACCCATGTTCTATCCCATCTTCTAGTCGATATGGGCTCCTATGTAGCCTAACCCCCAAGAACGAGGAGATCCCATGTGAATGAATGTACTTCCAAAAGCTACATGGTCAATCAAGTGACACTGCCAAGGAGATTCTTCTACTGCTGCAATTTCACACATCACAGGAGTTATGCTACATACACCTGAATCTGTACCAATCAAATTTGCGGCATAAACAATTTAAAAGTTATTATAGAAAAAAGAAAATTTTCTTTGAGTTATAAAGCATTTTATTAAAATAGAGTTCTGTGGATAAAAATTTCTCTCTAAAAAAAGAAGTTTGATACTTCATTTTAAAAAATTATCACTTTTAGACGAATGAAGTACATATTTTGACTAAATTGTTGTGATCATAAAATACTATATTTTAATAAGTTTTGGCAAACATGAAAGAGAAAAAAAAACTTTAAATTTTTAATAAAAAAATAAAGTTTTGATAAATTTTAATAAGAATGAATAGAAGAATTTTATTTTTAGTGAAAAAAAATACTTTGAGGAGTTTTCAACAAGTTTCATAATTCAAGTTTCAGAAGTGTTAAAATTGGTCAAAAAAAGATTTTTCAACAAAGAGCTTCTAAAAATTTATCAGAAAGGTAATCTACCTCAAAGAAAGTTGAAATATCTCAAATAAGCTAAGATTAAGTAATAGAAGATGAGAAAATATGTTGAAAATGTTAAAGATGTTCGGATACGGTTACCAATGGTTATTATTAGTTATTAGTAGTTGCTACCCATTAAAAATTAAAATATATGGTAAAGATCGGGAACAACAAACAATAGCAGTTATTAGAACGTGTTCAAATAAATTATGAAAAAAGTGTACATTGGATGAAAAGTCATTAGAGAAATTATTTATATATGGGACTTCATTTTATGTTTTACAGGTTACGACTCTTATACAAAAATCATTGTTACTCAAAATCTCTGCACATTAAAATTTTACACTAAAGTAGACTCGACAACCAAGCGATCAACAATTCTTAGTGTTGATTATGAAAGTTGTACGTTTATGTTCAGTAATTTAATTTCAATTCAGTTTATTTTTGTAAATCTTTATTGCTTTAACTTTATTATATTGCAATTCTACTACTCTCTATGTTTTAATTTTATACTTGTACTTTTGCTACGACGTTTGTATGTGATAAACACGCTTGAAAAAACACGAAAAAGGATCTAAAATTAATCATCACATTACCCATTTGAATTTATTTGTTTATTAAATTGTAAAATTTCACCTTAAGCAAAAGCATACACAAGTGAAAATCAACACAAGAAAAACAGTAGCTGATGATGAGGAATCGCAGGGAGGAGATTGATGTTGAGATGCGGGAACCATAACCCTTGTGGTTGGAAATTGCGATCGTCAAAGCTACAGAGCATAGGGCCAAGGCCAAGGCACGTTTTGCCAAGGCTAACCTAAAGCCCAAGTAGCTAAGGCAAGGGCTTTAACCTCCCAATTTTTTTTTTTAGAATTAATATGCTTCTAAAAAATAAAAAAATAAAATTATATTTAAAAATAATTTTTAATTAAAATAATTTAAATGACTGTTAACTTTTTATTTGTACTATAAATAATATTTAATAAGTAGTAACTTTTAATCAATAAATAATAACTACAAATAACATTTGATGATAATAACTTTCAACTAATAAATAATAATCTCTTTTTATTTTTTAGTTTTAAAAAAGAATAGTTGAATAGCAAAAGAAATTGAACAATTTTTTTTATCTCTTATTAGTTACATCTATCTTCTTCCTTTCTCTAATTATTATATTTAAAATTAAATTATAATTTTTTTATCAAATAAAAAAGTTTATAATTTAATTATTTAATTATTTAATTTAATCTTTTATCTTAACAAATATTTAGAATATAAAATTAATTGATAAATATAATTTTATTTTTTATGTATTGTTACTATTAAAAATATTATTGAAACAAAATAAAATAATATTTTAAAATCACTTTTCACTTAATGTATCAAGACATGAAATTTATCTCTTATGATTGATTATAGTATTAATTAATTAATTATAAATATAATTATTTATTAAAATAAATATTTTTTAACTAATCCAATCACACAGTTAATTATGTACAATTGGCTTCATCTTTTTTTTTTTACTGTCATTTTAACTAAAATCCATACACTATTAACTAATTTTTAATAATAATATTAATCTCTTAACTAATTTTTTTATTGAGATATTATATTTTTATTGGACATTTAAAAATAAGAGTTCAAATTCAATAACTATCAATATAAATTTTTTTTATGTTTTCAACTAATTCGACTATATCTTAACGATAACTTTTTGTTATACTTATTTTAAAAATTAATCATTTTAATAATATAATAAATTATGATTAGTTAATGGTATAAAAGCTTTTATTCTATCGATGTATTTTTAAATTCATAAAATGAAAAAGGGTGCAAGAAAACTTTCTAGTCATGCAAGAAAACTGAAACCAGGTTATTTGAGTCATATATAGGTTTCCCCTATTTATATTCTCTTTCTAGAATTCTAGTTTACTTAATGGGCTTCTTGGCCCTGTTCTCATGTTTGGGTAGCCATCAGCTTTCATTGTAAAAGGTTCGACCAAAATTCGTTAATTGAATGGACCCATTTGACAAAAAATAATTAAGAATAGACCCAGAATGTGAATTTTTAACCAAAATAATATATAAAAAAAATAAAAATACTGAAATAGACCTGTCCCAAAAATATTTACCAAAGTAGACCGAATTACTGTTTACGTACAGAATTCGAC